GAAAGGAGACATGCAGGGACGCAGTTGACTGCAATCCCCTCCACTACTCCTAGTGAGGTACAGTGTGCACATGTATATATAAATATATATCCTCCCCGACCCCAATGGAGGTAGACATACGCGTACAACAATCAACAAACACCAACAACCAACCAACCAGCCAGCCAACCGAAGAAAAATAAAAAAAAAGCAAAATGTAGACGAAAAAAAATAATAATAATAATAAATAAAACCAAACCAAACCAACGAACAAAACATAAAAGGGTATGAATACAATGCTTCTAAATACACGCACGCACGCACACACACACACACACACACACGCACGCACACACATGTATATGTGTGGAGACGGATCTAGGTATACATCCATTTATTAAATACAGACGGATGAGTTTAGCTCTGCACTTACTAAGGAGAAGCAGGGGGCATTTGCGACTTCAATTGGGGGTTAAAAGCACAAATTTCCTCCCAGAAAGCCCGTCGCAAAAGACTATCATTCATTTCCTTTTGTTCATACGGCCATGAAAAGAGTGTTGGGCACTCGGGTTCATCCTGTTCATCGTGCAGGGCCGCCAAAAAGGGATGCTGAAGCAGCTCCGCCGCTGACTGACGCTTGGCTGGGTCAAGCTCCCACATCTTTGTGAGGATGTCAATTGCCTCCGGGTCCGTCAAACCCGGCACCAGTTCAGTCACCTCCAGCGATCCGTCTGGAAGGCCATGCAGTTTGTCCAGCGCTTCAGGGTTGTTGACCATCTCACTCGGTGGTTTCCCAATGTGAGTACAAATCAGACGTAGCTGGTCCAGCGTGTTACGACCACGAAGCACCGGCTTGCGCGTGTACATCTCCGCCATGATACATCCAACAGACCAAATATCCACCGCTGTTGTGTAATAATTGTTTTCAAGCAGCAGCTCCGGTGGGCGGTACCAGCGTGTGATGACATAATCCGTCAGCTCATAGTACGGCATTGTGACATTCCGCGAAAGACCAAAATCAATAATTTTCAGTTCACATGTAATATCCGTGACAAGGTTGGCTGGCTTGAGGTCGCGGTGGGCAACGCCGGCGCTATGTAGATACTTCAACCCACGTAGGATCTGGTACACAAAATACCGCACATGTGCACCTGTCAGCTCTTGCCTGGAACGCAACACAACGTTCATATCCACGTCCTTCAAGGGCGTGACAATGTACACATCCCGAAACTCAGTGTAGCTTTTCATGGGCGGCAAAATGTCCATGATGTGCAGCAAATTCTCATGTTGGAAAAAGCGCATCATCGCAATCTCGCGCAGCACACGTTTGCCGTCCTCCAAATCCCGAAAGACGTCACGACATTTCTTAACGGAAACCTTTTCCTTTGTCTCCTCATTGAGGCAACTGCAGGCAATGCCGTACGCACCTGTCCCAAGTATCTTCAACAGTGTGTACTTCCTCGGCACCTCAAACTGAGAACCACTCACATTATAAAGCTTGAAATCACCCACAATCGTGGGCTCACAAAGCTCCTGGTTGCTATCGTGCATGTTTTCCTCGTTCCCTAACGTGGTGCGTGTGCCTGTCCGTGTCCAGCGCCACACCCAAAAAGCAGCAGGAAAAACACACACACACACAAAACAAAAAAAAAAAAGACAACAAAGAACGGACTCTCTCTTCTAAATTACCGGCCCCACCCCCTTCTTTCTTCTTTTTTTTTTTTTTCTCCTCCCACAGACCCTCGCTTTTGGAATAGGGGCCGTAATAAGGAAAAAGGAGGCGTGACAGGTACGCTGCAATGTGATGCCCTCCCAGCCGCGGGGTATATATATATATATATATATCACCCCCCTTTTTTTTTTCCTTGAAAAGTAATACCAAAGAACGAGAGCGTCAAACTCTCCCTTTTTTCCTCACACTTTTTTTTTTCTTTTTTAAAAGAAGTTTTAATTCCCTTTGCTCTTTGGCGTACGTTTATTATTTTTATTATTATTGTTATTTTCCCTTACTCCTTTCACGGGTTAGGGGAGGAGACGGTCTGTTCACCTCTCTCTCTCTCTCTCCCTGCAGGGCGTATGAATACGGTGCTGCGGGCCCTGCTCTTCCAACCTCACACACACACACACACAAGCCAAATAATTGAGTTTCTCAACTGAGACGAGACGAGGCTGGGCGTCGGCCTCTCGTTATGCCTGCTTGTATAATATAATATAATGTATGCTATATATGTATATATATTTGTCTATCTATATATCTATATATGTATGTATGTTCAATATAAATGCCCTTTACTGCTGCGGTGAATGAAAAGGAAGATGAGGCAACAAAACAACGACAAGAAAAGAATTGTAACACAACACACATGCATGCGTCAAAGGCAGCACCAACGTCATTACATCCAGACATCGACACACACACACACACACACACACACACATACAGAGAGAGAGAGAGAGAGAGAGTAAGCTTGTATATATCTATGTATATAATCCTAAAGGACGCTCTAAGTGATGGTTGTTCAATTCACACCATCACAACCCCTTTTCCTTCTCTTTTCTCTCTCTCTCGTTCTCTCTCTCTCTCTATGGCTCCACAACACGCTCCCCCTCCCCTTCTGTTTTTCTTTCTCACTCTCTTCCTTCTATTTCCTTCACTCATTCTGTGCGTGCGTGTGTCTGTTTTTTTTTTTTTTTTTTGTGTGTGTTCGTCATGGAGGCTGCCATATTCATTTCTCTTTCATATATTTTTTTGGTACATGCATACCCCCTTATCATCTTATTAAAGCAGCAATAAATAAAATGTTAATAACAATCATCATCGGCATTGTTATCATCTCTATTTTCATCCCTATCTGTCTGTCCATCTATTTATCTATTTCTCTTTTTCTCTCTATAAATATATATTTCCATCGTTGCACGCGAATATCAGTTATTTTCTGCTCTCCCCCCTCTCACTCCCCACACACATGTACATATGCATATATGCGTTTATGAGAGAAATACAGAGGACCATATTTACGCCTTGACTTTTTAAGCATCTGCCTCATCACCCGTTTCCTTTTCCGCACTCTCCAGCATGGAGTAAAAGCCTTTTGCAATCGGACAGGCGCGAATACTTTTTTCGTTAAAGTTCAAAAGACGGATCTTCTCCAACTGCGTGCCGCGGCTCAATGCAACATACGCCTGCCCGGGAGAAAAGAACCGATGCATTGCAACCTCCACGTGAGATATCGTCAGTCCTTGTGCCTTGTGCACAGTGATGGCCCAGGCTTGCCGCAACGGGATCTGCGTGCGTGTCGCGACGACCTGATCGCCCATGTACCATTGATGCGAGTACGGCGACACAAAAGCGTACACATGCCGCGGAAGCTGCACGCTGCGACTCCGTTTCCCGTTTGCCCCATCTACCTTGTCGGTGCGGAGGGTAAGATGTTGGGGCTGCAGGTCGAGCTTCACCACCGGCAGTCGGGTGAGGCGCAGTTGTTGCGGTGGGATGCCGCCAATGTACAGCTCGAGTGGGTGCACAGACGTCGAGGGCGAAATCCCCACAAGCTGCTGCACATCACGGCAGTGTGCATTGCCATAAACACTACCGTAACTCACCTCTGCCGGCTGCCGCAGGCCGCGCTGCCGCAGCGACCAGAAAAGAGACTGCCCCAATGACGTGTCCACGCAACGAAAGGCATCGTTAATTGTGGGGAACCCCCCGCGACGCAACAACTCCTGTCCACGTGCGGAAACGTGATACCGCTCACGTGGGGCCCGCAGGACAAGCTCGACAAGCTCCAGCGGGTGCAGAAAGCCGACCACCTCCCCTACAGAACCATTCACAAGTCCTAAACGAAGCGAAATGTTCTGCAGAAGCATCACGCGGGTGCCCACCTTCAGCGCAAGCTCCGTGGGTAATGTGCTGTCGTCAAACTTCACCCACGACGGCGGGCCGGCGGAGGCGGCATCGTCCTCATCGTATTTATCGTGTGCACGGTAAATCTGCAGTGGGCGAATATCATCCTCCGTCTCTTCCATTTCACGCATCACATCCTCTTCCTCCTCCTCCTCTCCCTCATTATTGTTATTGTTTTTTTCACGGTCCTGCAGCCGTGAGGAGTAAAACGAGGAAGTTGCAGCTGTTTGCCTGGAGAAATCCCCAAGTCCCTGCGGCTCCAATGCGGCAAAGTGCTTTGCGTTGCGGGCCTCAACCTCCTTGTTTGTGGCACACAACCGCACGTAACTGCCACCTTCAACATCTTCTCCCTCCTCTCCCTCTATCATCGCCCTATTGTCTGAGTTGTCGGCGGGCTGGCGGCCCTTCCGGGACTTCGCCTTCGTCGTCTTTAAGGCCGCGCGGGACATGAGCATCTCGTACGTCTCCCCTGAAAGCACCCCAATTCGCACATCGTCAAGGACGCGTTGGAATTTCGCATCTTCGTTCTGACGAAACTTCTGCTGCAGCACAACAGTTGTGAGCCCCAGTGCCTTCCATGCATCCCCCTCGAAGCAATACCGCTTCTTAGGCCGATCCGGCATCGCTTCCTCCTCTTCCGCATCTTCGTCCCTCACCGCCTCGTCCTCCGGCTGCCGCTGCTGCGACCACTGCGTGCGACGGGGTGGAATAGGCGGGAGCTGCAAAAAGTCCCCGCACAAAATGACATGAATCCCGCCAAACGGCTCATCCGCACGGCGTCGTATCGCCCGGGCAATGTAGTCTAACTTGTCAAGCAGCTCTGGATCCATCATGGAGATTTCATCAATGATGAGGGTTTGACAGTACTTCCACCGCCCCGCAGCGCGGCGGTTGCGGCGCACCCACTTCAGGAGTTCCCGCGCCTCGCCATCACCAAACTTCACACCGGCAAAACTATTGATGGTGGACCCGCGCACATTCAAAGCAGCCACGCCAGTTGTCGCCGTGACAAAAACGGAGCGCCGCCCCCCCTCACGCATCTGTCGCACAATCTCACGAATAACAAGCGACTTGCCCGTCCCAGCACCACCCGTGACAAACAAGTTGCGTCGCTGGAGCGCCAACTCCACCGCACGGCGTTGATCATCACTGAGCTCGTCGATGCAGCTGGCAGCATCGTCGTCTTTCGCCGTTTCCTCCGTCCGTTGTGCGGTCCTCTCTGCTGCTCTGTTCGCTCCCTCCTCGTCTGCATCGTCGACCGTGTCTTTTCCCACATCGCTTCGATGTACAAATTCCAGCCGCGCGGGGTACTCTTCTTCTTCTTCTCCCGCCACGTTGTTATCATTTTCGCGTCCCTCGAGGGACACACCACGTCGCTGCTGTTTGCGCCGCATCGTCTCATCCACCAGCAGCTGCATGAACTGCTCACTTTCCTCGTCCAAAATAGCCTCATCGTCAGAAACTGAAACGGCATCTTTCCTTTTTGTCTCCTCCTTCTCTATTTGCTCATCTATGCCACGAGCCACCGGCGTTGAGTTCTGCCGCTGAGCCCCTTCTGATACCTTCTTCTTTTTCCTCTTCTCGGTCGTCGTCACCACTGACGTTGCCTTATTCTTCTTGTCCTTCATTGCCACCTGCCCAATGCGCTCCGGCACCGTATCATAACTCCCCGATTCTTCCACCGGCGCCCTGCTGTTCACCTTTGCCTCCTCCACGGTACTGCTGAAGGTTGGGCTCCCGCTCGTCACTTGACTCTTCTTCCTCCTCGTCGCTGGCGGGGGCACCAAAAACGGCGCCAACGACGGCGGCGCGACGGCACTTGTCAGTAGTCGTTCCGCTTCCCTCACCGACACGTCGGACGGTGTCGCTGCCGCCGCTGCACGGCTCTGCCTCGGTTGAGATGTACGTCGGGGGTGCCGCTTTCCCCCCTCACCACGACTGGCATGCCGCCAACAAGTAAGAACAGCTGTATGCCGCGTCGCTAGAACCGCGTGTGTCTGCCGCACCGACGCTGAGAGACGCGTGAACATCCACCCGCCCGCCCAACACAGGAGAAACGATGAATGGGCCGTATCGCACAAAACACGAGTTATTACCTTCCTTCTTTTTGTTTTATTTACACAAAAACCTTTTTTTTTTTTGCACTTTCAGCGTCTCACACTCGCTCTCTGTCTGCGTGTATGTGACTTCACACTAATTTCGGGGCGGGGCGGCGGAAAGGAGAAAAAGCAGCATTTGAATGGGGGAACAAAAAGAGGACGTATGCGCATGAATATTTGGCAAAGGCACCTGTGCATCCACACGTGCTAACCACACAAGTATATGCGTGGCGGGGGCAACACACACAGCACTCACAGAGTGAGAAGCAGGGCGAGGTGGAAAAGAGCAGCGAGCATGACTATACCCAGCGAACACTGCCACCATGTTCGCGGTAGACCGCCCTCACACATGCACACAGACGTCTATAAAAATATGGTTATATATACATAGATAGAAAAAATAAAAAAATATGTATCTTGTGTTTTACGCCCACAAATGCCTGCAGTAAAAGAAAAAAAAAAGCTCACACGTACTCCATCCTCCGAAACCCCAACTCCCCTGCTACGCTCCACTAGACTCATGCCCACTCAGTTCGCCAAATAATGTCGATAGATTGTGGCCGATGGCAACACACACAGGCAGATCAACATGCATGGAGGCAAGGGCTCCATTTCCCTCCCCACTGCGCTCTCAGATGCGGATCGGGTGTGTCTGCTTCATGAGAGGCGCGACGGTCTTAAATACCGGATCCGAAGCGTCCTTCAGGAGCTGCATCAGGATCGACTCCGACGTGGACACGTAGCACCCGTCGCCTGACCACGACTGCATCAACTGAATGGCGGTGCAGTGGTCGCCCTGCGACTGGCTGCCGCAGCCGTCCACCGCGATGGCGACTTTCTTCTTCATGTCCAGAAGCGCCGCGGCAGTCTGCAGCACACACACATGCGTCTCGAAGCCCCACAGCACGAACTGCTCCACCTCCGGCAGGTCGACAACTGACATCACTTCCGGCACCAGCATTGAGAACCGTTTCTTGGAGAAGACGTGCGCGTCAGGAGGGAGCCGAATGTCTGCGGACGTCGCTCCGAGACCCTTCGGGTACTGCTCTGTTACAACGTACACGCTGTGTGCAGTGCCCAAGGCAGTGTGGAGTGCAGCAAAGCGATTGGCAACGAAAACACAGTTGGCGGAGTTTGCCACGCGCCCCATAAACTTCTCTTGGATGTCGCAGCATAAGAAGGCCGTCTTGCACGAGCCGTAGTGCTTCAACAGCCGTGACATGTTCGCACAACACCACGCAGTGCGTCCGCCTCACTGTTCCTTTTATTTTGAATGGTCTTCTCTCTCTCTCTTTTGTTTCTTTTCTTGGCCCTTTCTGTGTCCACCTGACCTGAAATCGTCTTGCGGCACGGAGTTGCTTTCCAGAAAGAAAAAGAAAAAAGAGTGAAATGCAAGCAATTCGCACACAAATACGTTTCGCTTCTCCGCTCCCGCGCCGCGGAAGAGGCACACAGACACAACTGCGGGGATAAAGAGAGAGAGCTGTGGATGAGCACAAATGGACGGAGGGGTTACAAAACGGTGTAGAGAGAGGCACCTGTGCATCCACACGTGCTAACCACACAAGTATATGCATGGCGGGGGCAACACACACAGCACTCACAGAGTGAGAAGCAGGGCGAGGTGGAAAAGAGCAGCGAGCATGACTATACCCAGCGAACACTGCCACCATGTTCGCGGTAGAACGTCCTCACACATGCACACAGACGTCTATAAAAATATGTTTATATATACATAGATAGGGGGTGAATATTCGCCCGGGCTGCTGGTCGGATCCTGAACTTATCTAAAGAAACCAAACAAAATAGGGAAAAAAGAAGGGGGGCAAATGAAAAGACAATGGCTTCACCACTTCCTCCATGCCTACTCCAAATAAATAAGTAAATAAATATATTCCAATAGCCACACTCGTGGATTGTTGTGCCTTTTTTTTTTTTTAAATTAGAAATATTATTTATAACTTACGAATTGGCGGGCTTTGAGGGGTCTACCAGCCACAACGCCCCGCCGCAGTGTGAAGGAATCAAAAAGAAAAAAAAAAATGGAGGGTGTGTGGGTATTTTACAAAAGTAAATAATAATAAATAATAATAAAACATAAAATATTCGTCTTGCCGTTATCGGATTCCCGATTCCCTCCATCTGCGGTTCCTACAAAAATACATAATATATGATATAGTCGTAAAGAGATATACTCGTTTTATCAGTATATATATATATATGCATGTATGTATATTAATCTGGTTGGTTATCTTTTCCTCGCAAACATTCTCTTCACAAATTCCTAGAAGGAAGCATCTTGTGTTTTACGCCCACAAATGCCTGCAGTAAAAGAAAAAAAAAGCTCACACGTACTCCATCCTCCGAAACCCCAACTCCCCTGCTACGCTCCACTAGACTCATGCCCACTCAGTTCGCCAAATAATGTCGATAGATTGTGGCCGATGGCAACACACACGGGCAGATCAACATGCATGGAGGCAAGGGCTCCATTTCCCTCCCCACTGCGCTCTCAGATGCGGATCGGGTGTGTCTGCTTCATGAGAGGCGCGACGGTCTTAAATACCGGATCCGAAGCGTCCTTCAGGAGCTGCATCAGGATCGACTCCGACGTGGACACGTAGCACCCGTCGCCTGACCACGACTGCATCAACTGAATGGCGGTGCAGTGATCGCCCTGCGACTGGCTGCCGCAGCCGTCCACCGCGATGGCGACTTTCTTCTTCATGTCCAGAAGCGCCGCGGCAGTCTGCAGCACACACACATGCGTCTCGAGGCCCCACAGCACGAACTGCTCCACCTCCGGCAGGTCGACAAGTGCCATCACTTCCGGCAGCAACATGGGGCTCTGCATCTTGGAGAAGACGTGCGCGTCAGGAGGGAGCCGAATGTCTGCGGACGTGGGGCCCACGCCCTTCGGGTACTGCTCCGTTACAACGTACACGCTGTGTGCAGTGCCCAAGGCAGTGTGGAGTGCAGCAAAGCGATTGGCAACGAAAACACAGTTGTCAAAGTTTACCACACGCCCTGCCAACTTCTCTTGGATGTCGCAGCATAAGAAGGCCGTCTTGCACGAGCCGTAGTGCTTCAACAGCCGTGACATGTTCGCACAACACCACGCAGTGCGTCCGCCTCACTGTTCCTTTTATTTTGAATGGTCTTCTCTCTCCCTCTTTTGTTTCTTTTCTTGGCCCTTTCTGTGTCCACCTGACCTGAAATCGTCTTGCGGCACGGAGTTGCTTTCCAGAAAGAAAAAGAAAAAAGAGTGAAATGCAAGCAATGCGCACACAAATACGTTTCGCTTCTCCGCTCCCGCGCCGCGGAAGAGGCACACAGACACAACTGCGGGGATAAAGAGAGAGAGAGAGAGCTGTGGATGAGCACAAATGGACGGAGGGGTTCCAAAACGGTGTAGACAGTCCAAATCACGGGATTCCCACTCCTCGCCCACACAGCGGCCGGCGCAGGGGGAAAACAACAAAAACAAAGAAAAAGGAAAGAAAAAGGGAATTTATAATGCCACACGTATAAGTTTTTTAATTTGATAGGGAGTGTATATATCATATATATATATATATATATATATATATATGGACATGCACCCACCATTTTAAATGGCACGACCACGGTTGCGTACCGTGTGATGTTTTCTCGTTCATGATTCCACCGTCCCTCTCACAACGCCATCACACCCCTTCCTACTTCCCTCTCTCATTTCCTCTTCTTTGTGAGCCACAGGCGCCACGGACGCTTGAGTTGCATGTTCCTTTACTGGCATTCGTCCTGAAAGGCAGGAAAGAGTTCCTGGAAGGTTTTGTTCGCCTTGAGGTGGCGGGATTCCAAGTGCTGCTCCAACTCTGGGCGTCGCACCGTCCGCGGAAATCCCTGTAGGCACAGTGTGCACTGCACAACAGTTTTTGATTGCTCGTGTTTTTTGCGATCCTCCGCCGTGTGGGCATTGCCTTGTTTTTGCTGTTTGGCCTGCTCCCGCGCCCGACGCTGATTGGCACGACAACCGTTACCGGACGGCATAATTTCTATCGCGCTCTCTTTTATTTTTATTTAAATTTTTTTTTGTCTCTTTAATTCCTTTTCCTTTTCTCTGCCCTCCATTGTTCATTGCAGTATTGCAGCCAAATATCATCGTAAAGGGAGAAAAGGGATAATGACACCTCATGCAGGCAAGCGTACATGAGCTTTGGTTGGTGTGTTCATCCTTCCCCCCTTAAAGATACATATATAAGTATACAGAGAAGGAAAGAGACACACACACACAGAGAGAGAGAGAGAGAGAGGGAGAGAGGGAGAGAGAAAGAAAGCGAAAGACCCTTTACGCACATCTCCGCTCAGAGATTGTGCAACAAGGGCGCACGTTTCATGCGTTCCACGCACTTCTCCCGTTCTCGTGCTTGCCGCAGTTGTGTCTCAAACGACTTCACGGTGTGCAGGAATTCCCTCAACGTCCACACCGCCTCCGTGGCACTGTCGCGGTGCAGGAAGAGGTGCGACTGAATCTGCGCGACGCTCAACACATTCAACGGGATCTGTTCCGCAAACTCGGCCCGAAGTTTGTCATCGGCGTCCGGAAAAAATTTCCGGAACAACTGCTGCGCCTGGTCACGTGACAGCAGCCCAATCTCCAACTTCACATCACATCGCCCTGGACGTATGAGAGCGTCATCAAGACGCTCCACGTGATTTGTTGTCATAAACACAATTCTTCCCTCCTGCGCCGCCACACCATCAAGCGCGTTGAGTAACCCGCTCATCGTGATGTGGCTGTCGGCGCTAAATGCACGATCAATGTCTTCAAGCAACACGATTGAACGCAGCGGGGCGCTGTTCAACAGGCCCACCAACGCCTCATCGCTCAGACCGCGACTTGACAGACTTAAAGGACAAATGGAGAGACGCAACTCCCCTGCAAGCGC